TGTACACACATGTTCAGTAACGATATCACAAAGCTGTACACACATGTTCAGTGACGATATCACAAAGCTGTAGACACATGTTCAGTAACGATATCACACAGGCTGTACATGTTCAGTAACGATATCACACGCTTGTACACACATGTTCAGTGACGATATCACAAAGCTGTAGACACATGTTCAGTGACGATATCGCTGTACACCCAGGTTCAGTAACGATAACAACAGCTGTACACGAATGTTCACATGTGTCAGTTCAGTAACGATATCACACAGCTGTACACACATGTTCAGTGATATCGATATCACACACGATATCTAAACACATGTTCAGTAACGATATCACACGGCTGTACACACATGTTCAGTAACGATATCACACAGCTGTAGACACATGTTCAGTGACGATATCACACGGCTGTACACATGTTCAGTGACGAATCACACAGCTGTATACACATGTTCAGTGACGATATCACAAACAGCTGTATCTACACATGTTCAGTAACGATACACACAGTGTAAACACATGTTCAGTGACGATATCACACAGCTCTAAACACATGTTCAGTGAGACTACACACTGTTCTAAACACATGTTTAGTGAGGACCACACACACTGTTCTAAACACATGTTCAGTGACGATATCACACTGTTCTAAAACACATGTTCAGTGACGATATCACACAGCTGTAAACACATGTTTAGTGAGGACTATCACACAGCTAAACACATGTTTAGTGAGGACTACACACTGTTCTACACACATGTTTAGTGAGGGACTACACACTGATCTAAACACATGTTTAGTGAGGACTACACACACAAACACATGTTCTAAGGACACACACTGTTCTAAGTGTTTAGTGACTACACACTGTTCTAAACACATGTTAAGTGAGAACTACACACTGTTCTAAACACATGTTAAGTGAGGACTACACACTGGTCTAAACACATGTTAAGTGAGGACTACACACTGTTCTAAACACATGTTTAGTGAGGACCACAACAAGGTCTAAAAACATGTTAAGTGAGGACTACACACTGTTCTAAACACATGTTAAGTGAGGACTACACACTGTTGTAAACACATGTTTTGTGAGGACCACAACAAGGTCTAAAAACATGTTAAGTGAGGACTACACACTGTTCTAAACACATGTTAAGTGAGGACTACACACTGTTCTAAACACATGTTAAGTGAGGACTACACACTGTTCTAAACACATGTTAAGTGAGGGACTACACACTGTTCTAAACACATGTTAAGTGAGGACTACACACTGTTCTAAACACATGTTTAGTGAGGACTACAACTACACACTGGTCTAAGCACATGTTAAACACATGTTTAGTGAGGACTACACACTGTTCTAAACACATGTTTAGTGAGGACCACACACAGGTCTAAACACATGTTAAGTGAGGACTACACACTGTTCTAAACACATGTTAAGTGAGGACTACACACTGTTCTAAACACATGTTTAGTGAGGACTACACACAGGTCTAAAATCATGTTAAGTGAGGACTACACACTGTTCTAAACACATGTTAAGTGAGGACTACACACTGTTCTAAACACATGTTAAGTGAGGACTACACACTGTTCTAAACACATGTTAAGTGAGGACTACACACTGTTCTAAACACATGTTAAGTGAGGACTACACACTGTTCTAAACACATGTTTAGTGAGTACAACACACCGTTCTAAACACATGTTTAGTGAGGACCACAACAAGGTCTAAGCACATGTTTCTGAGGACCACAAACAGGTCTAAAACCATTGTTTAGTGAGGACTACACACTGTTCTAAACACATGTTTACTGAGGACCACAAACAGGTCTAAAAACATGTTAAGTGAGGACTACACACTGTTCTACACACATGTTTAGCGAGGACTACACAGATGTGTAAGCACATGTTTAGTGAGAACTACACACTGTTCTAAACACATGTTTAGTGAGGTCTATGGTGTTATTGCAACACGTACACAATGTTTGTGACGTGTGAGTCGCAATCAAAACACTTTTCTAAATATTACGCTGTTTTCAGGAAAACATTTTACCAAAGCATCAGGTGTATACTTTCTTTTGTACGTCAGTGTATATACGAGATTACCATATCGATCAAATCATCCTGTAACAGCTTTTTTCTCTTCTCTCTTCAAAGGATGAAGCTGTTCCTTTAAAACTGGCCATATATGTTACAAATGCAATGTATCTAAGAAACAAACTATCAAAGATTAGTATACATGTATATCCCAATATGTAAGCCTACTTATATGTTAATCCTTTGTATATTGGCCGGAGGCCTTACATGCAAGAAATATGTTTGATTATATGATACATACGTGTACCATACAACAGTATCCCTCTGAATTGTCGACGTATTAACGTTAACAGCGACTTTCCTTTTTCACAGAAGATGGTCTGCCATATCACGATTTGTCTATTTTGACATTTCAGCTGTATAAAGATATCGCGATTTTCAAACACATTGACAAAAGTAGATATTATCGTGTATCACGTTCTTAACAAGTTGCCCTGTTACTATGCCAACCTGAAAGTGGCGAAGTGTTTATAAAACCCGTTGTCTCACGAAACAGACACTGATTTTCAAACTAGTATATATAGACAAGAAGAAATCAAATTGTGACACCTCTGTCACGATTATATTTGTGTATGTTTATGACATATCAAGGTTTAAGGTATGCATTCGGGATGAACGTTAGGACTATTGACTGTTATTTGAATGTGCTAATCAGTGATCGAGGGAGTTTGTTTAAATGCCGTTCTGGCCAATATCCCCTTGATATCAGACTGCCAGTCTGAGGTCGTTGACACACACGCACGCACACACGCGTGACGTCTTTGGTGAAATGAAGGGACACAAGTTGGTGCTGATAAACCCAGAAATATATTCAGTGCTAACTGGGATTCGAACCCACGGTTGGTTGGCAGGTTGTTTAACGCCGCACTCAGCAATGATCAGCTATATGGCGGCGGTCTGAAAATAATCGTGCCCGGACCTGACAATCCAGTGATCAACAGCATGAGCATCGATCTACGCTGTTGGGGAACCCACGGTGATAGGTTTCTAGAACGCCTCTGACATAGACATGGGTGAGTGAGTGGGTATGGTTTTACGCCGCTTTTAGCAATATGTGAGCAATATCACGTCGAGGGAGAGAAGTTTGAATTCGGTGTGACAACGAACGCTTTAATTACTAGACTACCGTACAGCCTATAGACAGTAGGGTGCTAGTTTGCTGCCTGGCCAAGACCCAAAATAGGGACAAATTTGGGGTTCGAACCAAGACTGGCGGATACGCTCTAAAGGTTGAAACTGAACTCACTGTCTACCCTTCTACCGTGTGGCTACAAGTGCCAATCTCTATAGATAGCGGGTCGGTGGGGAAGCCTAGTGGTTAAGGCGTTCGCTCGTCACGCCGAAAAAAACGGGTTCGATTCCCCACATGGGTACAATGTGTGAAGCCCGTTTCTGGTGTCCCCCGCCGTGATATTGCTGGAATTTTGCTAAAAGCGGCGTAAAACCAAACTCACTCACTCACTCACTCACTATAGATAGTTGGTGGGGTAACACCAAAGGTAATGCGCTTGCTCTTTACTGAGCTGACTGCTGAACTGCGAACACATGTTCCAGTTCTATAGGTGTAGAATAGAATGCTCATGCTGTTGATCACTGGATTGTCTGGTGATGTGGCACCTGCAAACCCTGGTTCGATTCCCAACACGAATCCATTCTCCGTACTTGTATAATATCTCTGAAGCCTGCGTGATATCCCACGCACCCGCTCACTGTGTTCAGGGACAAGTACAGTACAGAACAAATCGATAAATCGGCCTTGTACTTATCATAACAACCAATATCCGACAAGAAAGAGGAAACATTATGTTGAAGTGTGGTTTGTGTGACTTATGGCCATTGAAGCCCCTCACCTCGCCAGTATCCTGTTCTGTCTCCGGCCAGGCACAACAAAGAGGATGTACATTAAACGCCTTCATTACTTGTCATCCACAACAACAGGATACGCTTTTCAGTTAACTGGAGTTGAATTTGAAAACGTTCTAACCGGATGTAATTTCCATAGTTAGTTAAGTATTAAATTCTGCTATTTACGTTCGTGTTAGGTCGCCGCGGGAATTCGGATTGAGAAAAAAACGAAAAATGGTTTCTTGAAAAAATCCCTGAAAATGTATGACGCCGCACCCAGCAATATTCCAGTAAATATGAAGTTTGTATTTGTTGTATGTGGGGGTAGGGAGGAAGGAAGGGGGCAGATGGGCGAGCGGATGGTGCCTATGTGGGTGCCTTATTTTTGGGTAGAGTTTTAGGCGTAACTTGTTGTCGGGGTCAAGGATGGATGGTGTGTGTGTGTGTGTGTGTGTGTGTGTGTTGTTGTGTGTGTGTGTGTGTGTGTGTGTTGTGTGTGTGTGTGTGTGTGTGTGTGTGTGTGTGTGTGTGTGTGTGTGTGTGTGTGTGTGTGTGTGTGTGCTGCTGTAGGTGTGTTTAAGACGGAGCGAGGGGGTGGAGGAAGGTTTGGTTATAGGGAAAGTTTGGGGAGAGGAGGGAGAGAGAGAGAGAGAGATGGTATACGGCGGATGTTGTTAGGGTACGATGGTTGTGATCATTGTAGCCTTCTTTACAAACGGCATCGCTCTAACAACTGTAAAAAAGGACACGCGATCTCCCCGGCCCCACCAATCACACTGATTGATTCCGGAAGTCATTTCCGGTCGTATGACTTTGCGTTTTGACAGAGAACAAATACATCTGTGACAGTCGCTCGTCAGTTGCTGTCTGAACATACGAAACCTCTGACCTAAGCGGAAGGGCTCGAGGTGAGCGGAGTGGTTTGACTCGGGCTCGGTTATCAAAGCAATTATTTTAAGCTTCTCATTTCTCTGTCAAAGAGATCAACAGGTGTGGCGTTAGTTAAAACTTTACTTTATACTCAGACGGAGGTGATCAGGTCAAAGAGGGTCGCAGGTGATATTGTGTCAAAGTTTGGTTGTTTCTGAGGGAGGTATCCATGGGGGTGTCGTCTGAGGAAGGTATCCATGGGGGTGTCGTCTGAGTGAGGTATCCATGGGGGTGTCGTCTGAGGGAGGTATCAACGTGGGTATCGTCTGAGGGAGGTATCCATGTGGGTGTCGTCTGAGGGAGGTATCCACGTGGGTATCGTCTGAGGGAGGTATCCATGTGGGTGTCGTCTGAGGGAGGTATCCACGTGGGTGTCGTCTGAGGGAGGTATCCATGGGTGTCGTCTGAGGGAGGTATCCACGTGGGTGTCGTCTGAGGGAGGTATCCACGTGGGTATCGTCTGAGGGAGGTATCCATGTGGGTGACGTCTGAGGGAGGTATCCATGTGGGTGTCGTCTGAGGGAGGTATCCATGTGGGTGTCGTCTGAGGGAGGTATCCATGTGGGTGTCGTCTGAGGGAGGTATCCATGTGGGTGTCTGTATCGTCTGAGGGAGGTATCCATGTGGGTGACGTCTGAGGGAGGTATCCATGTGGGTGTCGTCTGAGGTATCCATGACGTCTATATCCATGTGAATGTCTCTGAGGGGAGGTATCCACGTGGGTTCGTCTGAGGGAGGTATCCATGTGGGTGTCGTCTGAGGGAGGTATCCATGTGGGTGTCGTCTGAGGGAGGTATCCATGTGGGTGTCGTCTGAGGGAGGTATCCATGTGGGTGTCGTCTGAGGGAGGTATCCATGTGAATGTCGTCTGAGGGAGGTATATATGTGGGTGTCGTCTGAGGTAGGTATCCATGTGAATATCGTCTGAGGGAGGTATCCATGTGGGTGTCGTCTGAGGGAGGTATCCATGTGGGTGTCGTCTGAGGGAGGTATCCATGTGGGTGTCGTCTGAGGTGGGTATCGTCTGAGGGAGGTATCCATGTGAATGTCGTCTGAGGGAGGTATCCATGTGAATGTCGTCTGAAGGGGGTATCCATGGTATCCATGGGTGACGTCTGAGGGAGGTATCCATGTGAATGTCGTCTGAGGGAGGTATCCATGTGGGTGTCGTCTGAGGGAGGTATCCATGTGAATGTCGTCTGAGGGAGGTATATATGTGGGTGTCGTCTGAGGGAGGTATCCATGTGGGTGTCGTCTGAGGGAGGTATCCATGTGGGTGTCGTCTGAGGGAGGTATCCATGTGAATGTCGTCTGAGGGAGGTATATATGTTGGTGTCGTCTGAGGGAGGTATACATGTGGGTGTCGTCTGAGGGAGGTATACATGTGGGTGTCGTCTGATGGAGGTATACGTGTGGGTATCGTCTGAGGGAAGTATCCATGTGAGTGACGTCTGAGGTAGTTATCCATGTGAATATCGTCTGAGGGAGGTACCCATGTGGGTGTCTGAGTTAGGTATCCATGTGAATGAGGGAGGTCTGAGGTCGTCTAGGGATATGTGTGAATCGTCTGAGGGAGGTATCCATGTGAGTGACGTCTGAGGGATATATCCATGTGAATATTGTCCGAGGGAGGTACATATGTGGGTGTCGTCTGAGTTAGGTATACATGTGAATATCGTCTGAGGGAGGTATATATGTGGGTGTCATCTGAGCGAGGTATCCATGTGAATGTCGTCTGAGGGAAGTATACATGTGGGTGTCGTCTGAGGTAGGTATCCTTGTGAATATCGTCTGAGGGAGGTATCCATGTGAATGACGTCTGAAAGAGGTATCCATGTGGATATTTTCTGAGGTAGGTACATATGTGGGTGTCTGAGGGGGGTATCCATGTGAATGACGTCTGAGGGAGGTATCCATGTGAATGACGTCTGAGAGCGGTATCCATGTGAATATCTTTTGAGGTATGTACATATGTGGGTGTCGTCTGAGGGAGGTATCCATGTGAATGACGTCTGAGGGAGGTATCCATGTGAATTTCGTTTGAGGGAGGTGTCCATGTGGGTGTCGTCTGAGGGAGGTATCGATGTGAGTGACGTCTGAGGGAGGTATGACCGGTTTTACTTTTTAATAGATGTAATATGAACATATGCAATATGAATACTTTAACCATATTATAGCATGTTCAATATGGATACTTTGACCACATTATGGCATAAGCAATATGGATACTTTGACCATATTATAACATATGTAATATGGATACTTTGACCACATTATGGCATAAGCAATATGGATACTTTGACCATATTATAACATATGTAATATGGATACTTTGACCATATTATAATATATGTAATATGGATACTTTGACCACATTATGGCATAAGCAATATGGATACTTTGACCATATTATAATATATGTAATATGGATACTTTGACCACATTATGGCATAAGCAATATGGATACTTTGACCATATTATAATATATGTAATATGGATACTTTGACCACATTATGGCATAAGCAATATGGATACTTTGACCATATTATAACATATGTAATATGGATACTTTGACCATATTATAATATATGTAATATGAATACTTTGACCACATTATGGCATAAGCAATATGGATACTTTGACCATATTATAACATATGTAATATGGATACTTTGACCATATTATGTCATATGTAATATGGATACTTTGACCACATTATGACATAAGCAATATGGATACTTTGACCATATTATAACATATGCAATATGGATACTTTGACCATATTATGACATATGTAATATGGATACTTTGACCACATTATGACATAAGCAATATGGATACTTTGACCATATTATGACATAAGCAATATGGATACTTTGACCATATTATAACATATGTAATATGGATACTTTGACCATATTATGACATATGTAATATGGATACTTTGACCATATTATAACATATGCAATATGGATACTTTGACCATATTATAACATATGTAATATGAATACTTTGACCATATTATGACATATGTAATATGAATACTTTGACCATATTATAACATATGTAATATGGATACTTTGACGATATTAGTAACATAAGCTATATGAATACTTTGACAATATTATAACTTATGCACTATGAATACTTTGACCATATTATAACATATGTAATATGAATACTTTGACCATATTATAACATATGCAATATGGATACTTTGACCATATTATAACATATGTAATATGAATACTTTGACCATATTATGACATATGTAATATGGATACTTTGACCATATTATAACATATGTAATATGGATACTTTGACGATATTAGTAACATAAGCTATATGAATACTTTGACAATATTATAACTTATGCACTATGAATACTTTGACCATATTATAACATATGTAATATGAATACTTTGACCATATTATGTCATATGTAATATGAATACTTTGACCATATTATAACACATGCGATATGAATACTTTGACCATATAATAACATGCGTAATATGAATACTTTGACCATATTATAACATATGTAATATGAATACTTTGACGATATTAGTAACATAAGCTATATGAATACTTTGACGATATTATAACTTATGCACTATGAATACTTTGACCATATTATAACATATGTAATATGAATACTTTGACCATATTATGTCATATGTAAAATGAATATTTTGACCATATTATAACACATGCAATATGAATACTTTGACCATATCATAAGATATGTAATATGAATACTTTGACCATATTATAACATATGTAATATGAATACTTTGACGATATTAGTAACGTAAGCTATATGAATACTTTGACCATATTATAACATATGTAATATGAATACTTTGACCATATTATAACATATGCTATATGAATACTTTGACCATATTATAACATATGTAATATGAATACTTTGACCATATTAGTAACATAAGCTATATGAATACTTTGACCATATTATTACATATGCAATATGAACACTTTGACCATATTATAACATATGCAATATGAATACTTTGACCATATCATAACATATGTAATATGAGCAGTTTGACCTCGGTAACTGATATGATATGAACAGTTTAACGTCATAATACATGTGCATTATGATATGTTTGAGGGGCGGTGGGGTAACCCAGTGGTTAAAGCTTTCGCTCGTCACGCCGAAGACCCGGGTTCGAATCCCCACATGGGTACAATTTGTGAAGCCCATTTCTGGTGTCCCCCGCCGTGATATTGCTGGAATATTGCTAAAAGCGGCGTAAAACCAAATTCAGTCAGTCAGTCAGTCAGTATGATATGTTTGACATAATGAACAGATGCCTTGCACACACACGGGAATTATAAACAGAGGCTTTGTGGTTACTTTCACATTAAAAAGAGATTTATATAATTAATAAATAACCCACTAATTAGGAGTTATAACCAGGCTCTGTGATCAGTAGTGCAGTGTTAGTTATCTAACGGTAAATCTCTCAGTGAGTCGAGACCAGACTGGTTCATTTCAAACAATCATCTCCGAAAAAATGTTCTTACAAACTAACAGCTGTTTAAGCAAAAACATTGAAACCCAACATTTTGTTTAGAAAACTCTCCGTAGCAATATTTCATAGCGAGTATTATAGATGGGAGCTCGATGTCACGTCACAATGGTATTTGACGTTGAAGGCACTTGGGGGCATTACGGTCCGGCATTACGCATTTGTAATGCTCATAATTGGCTCTAGTTTTATCGAAGGATACCCATAAGGTAAAAATGACCCTTTCTGGTGTAGAATACAGATAATAATGACAAGTGCGCCATCTGTCAACAAAGAAGGTTGAGCTCGTGACCTTCTTGGGCTGTAAACAGAGCTCATTACTCTGCATTAAACAGCTGTCGCTAATGACAAAAACATTCAAATTGCTTTCGCGTTTTGCCAAGAAAAGTAAAACCAGGGGCAACGTGTGTCATTCTTCACTCAAAGAATAAAATATTTAATTTTGACATGAGCGACGTCTGAATATGTCACTGCCTACGTAGCCTGCCACTATGTCCAATCCATCCAGCGTGGAAACGTTAATGCCTTATCTTTAACTGTTTTATGCGCTCAGTTTCCAGGCACGCTGCATTACGATCCTAAAACACTCCGCCTAGACCTACCTACTTTCTCACGCGTATGAATTTTAATGATTTAGTTCTCCGCAGAACTCAACCCCGCCCGAGGTCACGGAGTGCGTACAAACTGGGTGCCGTCTCTATATCCCCAGGCTACAACACGTGCAATGCGCAGCCGGGCGTGGAAGGGCGCCCACCGCGATATATGTCAAATGGCAATTTACAATCGTCAGCTGTTTATCGTTGACTTATCGTGCGGAAAGAATTTCACTGTAAGTCACAGGCAAAGGTTAAGTGAATACAATTCTCTGCATAACACACGCATATATATATATATAACAGTTGATATGTGAACACATTGGACTTGAAACGAGTTAAGAGTGAGTATGGTTTTACGCCGTTTTAGGAATATTCCAGCAATATCGTGTCGGGGGGCACCAGAAATTGGCTTAACACATTGTACCTATGTGACGAATCGAACCCGGGTCCTCAGCGTGAAGAGCGAACGTTTAAACCACTAGGCTACCCGTACGAGTTAAGAACCCACCCAGTGAAGACATTATTTATTTAAAGATTTATTTAAAATGAATATTCTTTTTAGGAAATGAGCATACATATTTTTTCCAGAATACGGGTAATCAAATAGATAAACAGCAGAAATACCAAGAAGCTTTTCTCCTAACAGGTCATTAAGGGACGGTGGGGTAGCCCAGTGGTTAAAGCGTTTTCTCGTCACGCCAATGGCCCGGGTTCGATTCCTCACATGGGTATAATATGTGAACCCATTTCTGGTGTCCCCCGCCGTGATGTTGCTGGACTATTGCTAAAAGCGACGTAAAACCATACTCACTCACAGGTCAATGATGCTAACAACATCAACGGGAAAGAAAAAATGCAGCAGAATGAAGAAAGGGGATAGAAAAAACACTTGCACACGTTATATTAATTGTAATCTGGCGTTTTCCATTTTACTGTTGCAAAGTGTTGATTAGAAGGATAGGGCCAATCACCAACACAAACCATTGTTTCTTTTGTGTGTGTTTGTTCTAGTCCTGCAAGTTTTCGCGTCTTGACCACTCAATCCAGGGATTGACATCACGAGCATCGATGAGTGATACGATGACATGAAGATACCCGGTAAGCCAGTTTGACCACCTGACTGAGTCTGGCACATTCTCCGACAAGACTGGGTAGTGAAGACCAATATAGTCGGGGTGTGATGATGATTTTAAAGGGTGTGTGTAGGGGTGGGTGTGTGTGTGTGGGGGGGTGTCACCCATTTTGTTCTGGGGAGGTGGGTGTCATAAATTTTGTACACATGTACTAGGGGGGTCGTCACTGATTTGGTACATGACATGCAGGGGTGTGGTCACTCACTTTGCATATGAAATGTAGGGGTGGGGGTGGGGGGTCATTCATAAAATCATCATCACATCCCCTAGCCATAAATTATAAACGGTCCCTAAGAATATACTTTCACAAAATTTCACTGAAAAAATAATCTCAAATATGGCCATATGTTTTGTCGCACTTTGAATAAACGTAAGAAATTTGACTAAAGGTACAAGTGTGTGCTTCTGGGGTGGGTAGGGTAGGTAGGGTGGATGGGTGGGTGGGAGGTCTTATGATAACTTATTATATATCTATTATTTACATATTCTTATATTTGGTCGTTGACCTAATAAATATTTTTGTCAGTTCTGTGTATGTTGTATGACGTTGCTAGGATACAACATCTATTTCAGTCCAACTGCATATAGATGATGAAATATACATGTCAATGAACATGATCAGCTGGAGGTGATTGACTGGTAAGTAATATGTTACACAACAAGGAGACATTGTTTATAACTGAAGTGAAACAACCTTCGCAGTTGCCGTGGCAACGGTATATTTTAGATTGAATATTTCATTTCGTCTCTATCACAGTTATTTCTGCGAGACGCACGTCATTCGGTCTACCTAGTCGTACAAACAACTCCAAATAGATACATTGCTGACGTCCACATCTTTCTTCATCTGTATCTCGGAATCAGTTTCTGACATTTGCATCCTTGAACTTATTCCATGCCCAGGTAAACGAAGGTGTTTACTGGCAAAGAAAGGATGTTATATTTTGATAGACGATCACTGTTGTGTCATCGGTAGACTAACACATAGTCTCTGAATATAATTAAATTTTCATATGAACAAATAATCCCATTTAAATTGAAAAGGAGCCCCAGAGAGAGAGAGAGAGAGAGAGAGAGAGAGAGAGAGAGAGAGAGAGAGAGAGAGAGAGAGAGAGAGAGAGAGAGAGAGAGAGAGAGAGAGAGAGAGAGAGAGAGAGAGAGAGAGAGAGAGAGAGAGAGAGCAACATAATTATGGTAGTAGCGCTGATACATTTGGCTTTTTTCATGTTTAGGGTATATTTTTAAAATTCCAAACCATAAAACGTTATTTTAAAGATATTTCTACAGACAAACGTCTATCACCTCGACCGGATTAAACTGCAGGTTTAATTTCTTTGGGAGGCATTTTTTAAGTTGTATAGATGAAGGATAACCAAGTTCTATGGATAGTCAACTTCTTTATTGCAATGAGTGCAATGTTTTGGTGTAGGTACTAACACCATTATCAAACAAGTGATGATGTTAATACCTACACCGAAACGTCGCATCCACTGCAATATAGAAGTTGACTGTCCATAGAGCTTGGTTATCCTGCAGATTTCATGTTGTGTGTGTATAGGCAGCCCAAGCCTTCTCTAAAACTACTCAAGTTAAAGTTGGAACGAAACTGATTTTTGTTTGTTTTACAAATATTATTTAACTGCCATGTGATGAAGAATCAGCTATTTTCATATTAAAGGACCATGTTGTATTTAACATTTTTAAATAGTATTTATACGATGCCGTCTTGAGAGCTGCGCCAAACGTGGAGGTCATCGACCATACACAGGTGAACGCGAGTTCAACTGACGTGGAAAAGAAAGTATACAACCTTGTTTGATCGCGACTTATAATGAAAAAGGCAACGGTTATTTGAGGGAGACGTATTTGAAACGGTTCTCAGCTGTGTTTAGGACCTTAAGGCTGAGTGTTCTGGAGATTGTATGCAGGGTAATTTGATAAGGTGGGTAATTATTTGTCAAATCACACTTTGAGGGTATATTTTCTTTCGCCCTTCAGCCAAGATGGATTGTTGCTAACGGGCAATTCTCCCACTGGTGCAAAACACGAGTGAATCCGGAATATTAAACATGTTACCTTGTTCCGCCAACAGAAATGTGTGAGCATGGTTATATTATACCGGCTTTCAGACTCGGGAAGATCCGGGTTAGAATTGATCTTCAGTAACCCATGCTTGTCTGCCCGTGAAGATCCTGGTTAGAATTGGCGTTCAGAAGTCCATGCTTGTCGTAAGAGGCGACTTATGGGATCGGTTGGTCATGCTCGCTGACGTGGTTGACATGTCATCGTATCCAAATTGCGTGTGAGCTTCACACATTGTACCTACGTTGGGAAGCAACCTTCGGCGTGACAAGCGAACGCTTTATTTAACCACTAGGCTACCCAATCACCGCTTCTGTCGAAGAAACAGGTTGATTATTTCGAATGAAATGAGCCAGTTTGCTGTGACATCCTGTTCCTTAAACATGTTAGGGTTGAGTGCTTCATTCGCAATGATGACCAATCGCAATAACCATCTTAAGTAGCCCATGCTTGTCGTAAGATGCAACTAACGGGATCGGGTGGTCAGGCTCGCTGACTTGGTTGACACATGTCATCGGTTCCCAATTGCGCAGATCGATGCTCATGCTGTTGATCACTGGTCTGGTCCAGACTCGATTATTTACATACCGCAGCCATATAGCTGGAATATTGCTGAGTGTGGCATGAAACAACAAACAAAAAACAAGCGGCTTTCAGCAATGACCCAGCAATACGACGGTTTATACTCGGGGTCCAAGTAGGGAATAAACCCCATATATTCTTCGTGACGAGCGAATATTTCAACCACAAAGCTACATATCCCCGAGAAGTGCTAAAAACGGGTATAACATTGCTTTAAACATCACGTTATTGCGCTGTTCCACTTATACGGAGATGAGAGCAATTACATTGTGTGAAAAAATGTGTCTAGGGAAATTATTTGTCAAATATTAAATGGAAATTTGTTGAAGAGTCAACGTAGTTTGATCCTGTAACGACCTTAGAAGCCCGGGTCAATAGATTGGCAAGCACCTCGTCTTTTAAGTGCCCGTAAAGAACGACAAATGTCCGCGTACCCCACACGGATACAATGTGCACCAACTTCTTGCGCCACCGCATACAATTCCAACTCACTCACTCATTTGAGTTCAGCTGACTTGCTGATTTTGAAATCCAGAACAGTTATGCCTCACATGTGCCCATAAAGAAAGTTCTGCCCAATAAACATTAAATATGCACAGGGTCAAGGGCCTCTTTCAGTTCAATGCCTAGACATTCTAAAAAGCGAATGTTTAAAACTTGGTATTGAAATAATGTGTACCTACAGTAGTGTTAGATTCAACAGGGGCGGTGGGGTAGCCTAGTGGTTAAAGCGTTGGCTCGTCACGCCGAAGACCCGGGTTCGAATCCCCACAAGGGTACAATGTGTGAAGCCCATTTCTGGTGTCCCCCGCCGTAATGTTGCTGGAATATTGCTAAAAGCGGCGTAAAACCAAACTCAGTCAGTCAGTCAGATTCAACAAGGCTAGGACTACTAATCTACCCGAGCCTAACCTTGGCAACACTTGACTGTCGTAGCAAAGTCCATTATAATACTTCAGCGAACAATTCGTTTGCGGACTCAATCTGATTGACGGTTATCGGTCAGACAACATCGATTACCTAAATTTGAACGAAATAATGTCTCATGTTCAATGGGACAACTACTACATCAACTGGTGACAATCTCCAGACCCTCAATAACGCAGAAACCTAAATTGTATATAACACAAGATTCAGCTTACACAAAATACATTTATTATCACAATATTTATGATAAAGGTCAAGTGTAGTAATCCGCATAAACGGACGTAAAAATCATCAGAGATAAATAACTTGCATCCGGGTATCTCGGGCTATTGCCTGGGTCGCCGTGACATCGTCTATTCGGTGGCAGGTCAGAACTATCTTCCTCGTGAGAGGATTATTAATGCGCTTCCTCATGGGAATAGTCGACTCCTGTAATGCTATACACACAATCGGTATTAATCTGCAAGCAAGTTATAGTTGCGAAGAGAGAAATATATATATACAGCGATACTTCTGACACCAGCGGTGCACGTTAAAACAGTCTTCACCACTGAACAATATATTTTTGTCCGGGTCATTCTCAAACTACTGTTCACATTTGCGTCGTCACCGGAATCACAGTAACACATGACCTGGTCTCACACGAGTACGCCATGAGAAACGTAGACTACGTCATAAGATACATAACACGTCATCACATTCAATGACTTCGTCATCAAGTTCGCAGCACTACGTCATCAGTTTTGCAGTACTACCTTATTTCAGGTCCGCAGCACCACGTCATCAGTTTGAAGTACTACATAATCAGTTCCGTAGCACTGTCATTAGTTCTGCAGCACTACGTCATCAGTTCTGCAGAACTACGTCATCATGTTAGCATGATTACGTCATAGTATAGATATAAACCGATCATTCAAAAAGGACTTAACAAAATGGGCATATATATACATGGCCCCATAGCACTTCAATGCGTTCAGTCTTAATGAGTTAATATGCACTTAAAGAGGGGTGATGCACAAGTTTTTAACAACGTTCATTTATGCACTTGAAAAGACACGTTTATGCGTTCACGAGTTGCGTTATGCATATAGTCACCATCCACACACATACGGATCCAACACTCTCTCGCCACAGTGACAATATGAAGTATTCCAGCACGGTATTTACACATTTCATAACACAGGAATTGTCCTAGGGGATGTGACAAGACCGGGAGTAGAAAGGTTCTCAAGGCCACCGCCGATGCTGCTGAGTGTGACAGGGGAGAAGGGGATGTGCCCGTTGATGTAGCTGGGGAACTGAAAGGCGGTGGCGGCGCCTGCGCTAACGCGGGGGCTGAGAGTTGCTACAGGACTCAACGAGCTCCAGAAATGAAGGAGCTGAGGAGTCCGGGGCATGCCCATTGGACTCGTGAGGAGCAGGGGGTGTGGATTCCTGGGAAGGCCGAGGCTAGGGACTTGGCAGACGGGCTGGTGATGGGAACTGTCGTCGCTGGGGTTAGAGTGGTGGACGCCCCCACGGGAGTCAGGCTTAGGCTGATGGGACAGGGCTTTGGCTTACTGACAGATGAAGAAGATGAGGAGGAGGAGGAGCGAGATTTCGATGATGAAGATGATGAGGACGAGCATGAGGAGTGGATCAGTTCCAGCTTCGGCTCTGTTAGATGTTTGACCGCTGTTTCAGATTCTCTGTCCCTTTCGCGATCTCTCTCTCGTTTCTCTCTCTCCTGCAGTCGCTCGTGCTCCCGGTCTCTCTCCCTTTCTCTTTCTCGTTCCCTCTCTCTGTCCCTTTCACTCTGGTGAGCGGCTGGGATGCTCCAGGCTGAAGCTTGTATTGCCGAAGACTTGATGTCCTGGGCATTGTAGGAGGCGAAATGAGGCATAACTCTTTGTCCATATTCATGAGCTAGAGACTCCATCTTGACCTTGAAGGGAATCTTGTTCTCTGTTTTGACAATTTCGGGGAAGGACACAAACTTGTACACAAATTTCTGGCCCATGACCTTCTTGATGATGTTCTTGTCATAGTAGTATCTCAGAGCTCTGCTCAGTTTGTCGTAATTCATATTGTGTTTGTTTTTCCTCAGTCCCCACAGCCTTGCCACTTCTTCTGCGTTGATGAGTTTGAACTCGCCGTCGTTGTTGGTCCACTGGATGATCTGGTGGTGCTGCTGGTTGACCAACAGCTCCAGGAGGAACTGCCACAGTGTGATGTTCGAGTCCATGGCTGAAATACAACAGCAGACAGTCAGTATTCCGAGACAGATAATCTAGACAGACAGACAGACAGACATAACTGCTTATCAATTCGAGGAAAATGTTCATTTCATGCTTCTACTCTATGGGTCAAACCCAAGAACATGGCGCTTCGAACTTATTACAACATTGAATAAATCGGTATGCATCCATATGGCATTTTCAGCTCCCTGGGGAGAATACAACCTTTGCTGTAAATTCGTCTATATACAAAACACTCTCCATTCATCAATGGTTGAGTGTACACGCTGAGTTCATTGTTAGTTCTCAGTAGTTCATGCTTGAGCAGATAAAAATCTTTGGTTTTTCTCACATTTCGAGTTTAGCAAAGAACGTTACACTGTCATCAAAACAGGGTGTTGTGTTTCCACCCAAGCACAAAGGTTAAAGATAATGTAACCAATGCCAGCAATTAAGTTGGTTACGGGAGGTTACAGGCGTTGTAACAGCGGCATGTGGGAGACAGCGTACAAGAACAACTGATGCGATGTTGTCTGGCGTTCATGTCATCGTGCATTAATTCCTGAACGCCCGGTTAGCTCGGGGTTAAGCATTTGCCCCAACCTGTCTTAAACCTGGTTAAAGATGTCATATTGCCCTGCCTCAACCTTGTTGTAAGAACTGACTACATGTCAATGACATATGGTGTCACATAGTTGCCTGTGTGTAATCTTGGGAGACTCCATTATTCACTGCCCGCCCTAACAGTTACCATACTTCCGAATGCGGCACAAAACAACATTTACTCATATTCACTGAGATCTAGTAGGCCAATACGGTTTTAGCAATATTTTAGCAATATCACGACGTGGCACACCAGAAATCGGCTTCACACATTATACATATGTTGAGAATCGAACCCGGGGTTTGCCACGAAGGAGCTTTAACCACTGGGCTACCCCGCTGCATCTATCGTGATCTAAAGATAACAACATGAACCCGGAGAATTGAACCCAAAAATGCGCGAATTGGTGACATGTCAGATTAACTATAGACTCATGAAAAAATGGGGTTTGACGTCTTCTGAGCGCTTTAAAAAATATCCCTACGAATGTGAACCAGAAATGGATATTTATAAAAATCTAGGGCGGAGAGAAATTTTTGAACTCTCTAGGCAAAGTTCCAGCCATAACACGGAATAACAGAAACCTCATAACAAATATCTCAGCCGCCATAAATAACTCAACCTTACAACAAAAAGAAGAAATATATATCAGTGCCGACTGCATACAAAGGCGTGCCGTGAAATTAATAGCGTGGCATTTCGAGTGGTCACCCTCTACAACTCCCTGTTCACGATGCTATAACGAGAACCACGCGCTAGATATCGACGTCGTGTGAAGTGTCAACTGTAACAGGACGTATTTCAAATCAGGACACCCGTGTAGGTCCGGGTTAGAATTGGTCTTCGTAAGAGGCGACAAACGGGATCGGATCGGTCTGACTGACTTGGTCGACACATTGTAGTCGTATTCTAATTACCAGGCGCGTAGCAAGCCAGTTTTTTTCGTGAAAGCCCGATAGTGAGTGAGTGAGTTTCGTTTTACGCCGCACTCACAATATTCCAGCCATACAGCGGCGGTCTGTAAATATCGAGTCTCCACCAGACAATCCAGTGATCAACAGCATGAGCATCGATCTGCGCAATTGGGAACCGATGACATGTGTCAACCAAGTCAGTGAGCCTGACCACCCGATCCCGTTAGTCGCCTCTTACGACAAGCATGGGTTGCTGAAGATCAATATTCTAACCCGGACCTTCACGGGTCTGCAAGCCCATAGGTTGCAAAGCTTTATATTTAGATAGTATTGAGGACTTGCCCAACCATTTTAGCAACAATCATGTGTAGGCTCGGGCTTTTTTTCATTATGGTAGCTACGCCCCTGATTGCGTGGAGGACGGTGGGGTGGTAAACGCGTCCGCTTGTCACGCTGTAGACGGTTCGATTTCCCACATGGGCACAATGTGTGATGCCCATTTCTGGTGTCTCCCGCCGTGACATTGCTGAATATTGCTAAAACCGGCGTAAAACAACTCTCACTCACTAATTGCGTAGATCGATGCTCATGCTGTTGATCACTGGATTGTCTGGTCCAGACTCGATTATTTATAGACCGCGGCCATATAGCTGGAATATTGCTGAGTGTGGCTTTAAACAACAAACAAACAATCAGATCACGATCGGAACAAGGTCACTACGCATATGCTGTACTTAACGATGTTGGCTGGTAAAATTAGTCCCAGACATGGCTGTTTGATCAGTTGCTTGATAACGTGTGTTGTCCTGGTGTGATTCCGACAGCTTCTGAATGATGAAGCTGCGTGCAGTAGAGACGCCTGCATTAGCATCACTATACACCTGTAGCAGACCTCACGTCTCCGTCACACACTGACCGGTATCTCTTACACACTGCCAGTGACCCTAAGTGTGTTCGGGATCTATACTGTAAGGCGATAAGGCTATTATAGCCTTAATTCACGGGTAAACCTTTCCTCCGACAACTTAACACATATATGTGCCTAATATGGAACCATTTATTTGAATATACTTAGTGCCATGATTCTGAAGATTTCGTTATCGAATCCCCGTTGAAACACGTAAGGTGTTGAGCCAAGTTTGAGCCGATGTTGTGACTGATGTTTGTAAGCACACATGTGGAGATGTGATTGTGAAGATATCGTTATCGAATTCCGTTGAGATAGTGAGTGAGTTTAGTTTTACGCCCCAATCAGGAATATTCAAGCTATATGGCGGGGCGAATTCCGCTGAAACATGTTAGATATTGAGCCTAGTGAGCGATGTTTATTAGCATATGCGTAGAAAACACACAATGGTTGTGAAGTTTTCATGATCAAATCCCCGTTGAAACGTGTTTGGTTTTTCGCCTGGTGACAAATATGAACGTTATTGAGAGCCACAGCTGTGATATAAGCTTGGTTATTACCCAGTTAAGGGCGCATCGTTTAGCTTAATGCACACGCTGTGCACGATATCACCGCTCTCGCTACACGCGGTTGTTTATAACCAGAGAAATAAGAAACAAATGTTGACCATGAAAAAAAGACGTTTTCAACGAAGTGCCACTGGCATCACAGCAGTGCGTCGGATCCATGGGATATACCCTCCAGACTCTAAGGCCTACGTGGTGGCAGTTGCAAGACCGCACATAGTCGGTGAAAATCCCTAAAAATATTCGTGCTTGACTATTAATAAAAATACCATTTTTACAAAACGACAAAACCAAAAATCTGCTCAAAATATGACCTTCACCAATTCCACATTGTAGATTGTTGGTTCTGTTATCACATCGGCATCTTTGAAGCACTAGTAATCTTATAGACCTGCAAAAATGATTAGTTGAAATACTAATTACTAGATTATAGAAATAATAGAAGCTGTGCCTATTTACAAAAATTATCTAGACCTGCCTCGCATATTATTAGAATTACCACACATCCATGGACCTGTATTTCAATACGGTCTAGAAGCAATGCTTGGAGTCCTCTTGTTATCGAGTTTGTGAGATAAATAAGCTGATATTTTTCGATATTCATGATTAGACAAACGACGTCGGGTGTGTATCCGCCGCGTGCAGAACGGTTACAGATACTGTAACCAATGTCAGCAATTACGGTGGTTACAGGCGTTGTAACAGCGGCATGTGGCAGACAGCGTACAGGAACAACTGATGCGATGTTGTCTGACGTTCATGTCATCGTGCATTAATCCCTGAACGCCCGGTTAGCCCGGGGTTAAGCATTTGCCCCAACCTGTCTCACACCTGGTTAAAGATGTCACATTGTTGCAATTTTAACATACCTGTAACACACCTTGAAGCCCAGGTGGAACGAGAGAGCTGATAGTCCCTCCACAAGTAATGATCCATTTTCAATCTCTAGACAATCCACGAGGTGCCACGATCACCATTAGACGTAAACTGAAGTGGCTATTTCCTATGGTCCAGGAAGATGATATCGCCCGCCAATTTAACTAATTGAATCATTCAGTATTTATTATCGATCCTTCATGAAAGAACTCTCTAATTTGAAGAGGCTCAAGTCACGTTGTCACGAGAAGTCTCTGCTTAAATGATAATCTCGAGGATTCTCGCGGAGCGCGAGGCGTTTACAATCAAGACTGACTTGCACAGCCAGATTTTTCATCCACAAGGAAACACAAAAATAATATTTATCTTTGACTCCAGAATCAAAGCCAAAAGTCTCCAGACAGTTCCAAAAGGCTGTGGCCACAAATGAAATTAATCAGTCAGGCTTCCCCCTAACGGTATTACACTTAACCTAGAGTAAAATGGCAATCAGCGGCTCGGCTCGGGTATAGAAATAAGGCATTCTTAAATCTCAAACAGCCCAAAAGTCATGCTCTTCTAAAGCTGGGGTCCCCCATTTGCCCTTGTACGTGACGCGGAGCCCCGATGCTCTCAAAATCAACACTGACGGATACATTTGGGGAAAGGTATGTTGGATTAACAATGCGACCACCGTTGAAAAGGCAGAAAGGAGATTCCGATGATATTTTCAATGGCTACAATTGTGGTATGTTTGTGTTTTGGTTTGACGAAGTCAACTCTAGATAAACGCGGGGACATGTTACCGGTCACCACAGGCGGATCAATGTCCACTTCTATCTATTACTTCAACACTCATTCCCAAATTACTGCCAATACGTACACTACACCAAAAAACGGCAAATCCTTTCAGACAAGTCTATAAAAACCAAAAACACAAATATACTTGTGTACTATTCCCAACAAGTGATTAAACTCAAGACAGACTGTCAAAGAAACGGTTTTCATCAAACACCCTGGTTTCTTGGTTCTCGTTTTGACATTTTGGAGGATAGCTTCAGGGTTTTGTTCTTTATTGGTTTAATTGAATTCACAGACAAATGCACCCAAGGGCTTGCCATACGACGTTTATGTGCTTTAACTTTTAATTAATAAAACGTATTTTATGTTTACAAAAGCAGCACTTAAGCTGTCGCAAATGATTTTGCCACCCACTGTGTAAAGTGCTTCATAGACTGTCAAGGCAGTCTGTTGCGCAAACTTATGGCTTACAGTTTGGCCCGATATCAACAGCAAAGATTATCTCAACTTCAACCAAAGAGGAGATTACCGAATTCCGTCTTCCGACCTCTTTCGAGTGCAGATTTTTTGTGACATAATGTTTTAGTCTATTTTTGAAAACAATGATTTTTTACATTCTCAGTCAAAAGATAAAAACGTAACAAATAACTGTAAACAAATAAGCAATGGAACTGGCATTTATAACAAAACACTGTGCAGTGGGAAAGGCCAGATCTTTCAGCTGTTAACACAAAAAGCGTACTATTTTATATCTGCTGCCCATCTGTTTTCAATCAACAAGACTGAAAACGCCTTTCACTGAGTAATTTTCTTGCAGGTCCTTATTTTTTCACACAGAACCCAAGTATTTTATCAGTAATTACATCATGACACTAATAATTATCTTATCGATTGCAATCTATTATTTTCAAAACACATTTTGATAGAGGAAGGGTTTCACAGCAGTGCAAGGTCTTGGAGTGAGTCACACACTTCTCCATAATGACATGGGAGCCGTATGTTTACAGTTGATCATATGCGCTTATCGAGGGAGACTCTTGGAATCGCGTGGCATAACGGCACATGTGAAAGTTGTTAGCGAGGGGGGACGAGGAAATAGCCGGATTGTCGGGGTTCCCTATCGATCGTGACTTATTGGAAACGAAGGACGGGAGATTGTCAGTCGAAGCAGGAAAAACTCAACCCCAATTTCCCTTCCCATTCAGTTCATCATCCGCCTGTGAAAAGCTGAAAACTTTCTCATTTCCTTTGTCCGTCACCGAAGACTTCAAAGGGGGCCAATTTCCTAATTCCCTATGAGTTTAAAATCCGGACACGAAACCTCGTGAACTAAAACATGGGTCGTGTTTGCATAGAATGTGTCGAAGCTCGGTGTTATTTATTAAACATATTTTCGAATGGAATACAATGACTTCCTCAATCGAACAGTACGTTCACGACAATAAACAAAATCACTGTGTAGTTTTAAATATGTGTAAGTCCGACTGACAGTAAGTTTGAACTGCTATCCGAACAAGTAAGTAGGGGAAGGGTCCAAACTCTTTCGTCATCGCTTCGTTGGAGCATTGAAATATAGAGCAAGTAATATTAACACTTACCCTTTACGCTTGGCTTGTAGTTGCTCATGCACTGTGACTTAGCATGTTGACCAGAAGGATCAGTTTGTTTGGATGTTAAACCATCAGAGACCGCCGGAGATGGGGAAGCTCGAGGCAACTCTGCAAATTACAAAACACAACCCGTCCATAACACACTTTAAAACACTACACCAGTTCCCTCCCTTAGTGAGGTCGTTGAACTATGTGTTGTGGTATGTGGTCATACGAGCGTGTCTAACTCAAGCCCGGGTCATCTATCACGTTCGTTTCCAGGCGTTCGCTTCCCAGAGTGTCAACAACTCGCATAGCCACTGTCTATCACGACAGAATTAAATATTACGATTTCTTCAAGTATTTCCATAAGATGCAGTTCCCCGAATTAACATCTCAACCAGACCCAGATGCTTAGTCGCTTTCACCACGCTAACTAGTATATCATTTCGGGTCGTTTTTCACACACGTACAGTCGGTTCACATCAATCGTCCGCCTTCTAAAATTTCCGCGAAATCACGATTTCAAATCTAAACAAAATGCTGAAAATATCTTGCTATACGTTACCGGGCTGAGATGATAAGACAAAGTGCACTCCCCGCATAAGATTCACTTAAACACAAGCCGGCTCGCAATTCGGAGCGTACAACTTTTACACAGGCTTTTTTGTCCGAATTTCGTCTTCTTTCGTTTCCCGTGGTTATCAGCTTTTGGTGGCAACTGGCATCGTTGTGGATTAGCGCGAGTGACGGCAGAGAGGGTCGCGTTCCTTCAGTGGGACAGCCGCATAGCAGAAATTCCTCGCCCTGAGCTCGAGTCCGTTACCCGACACGCCAACAGAAACTCTAAACCCTCGCCCCATGTAGTCTCCCTGAATCACGTAAACGATAACGAGCCCCCCCTTCCTAGTCTGGCCCGTGTTTCCAGTGGAACATCGAGACGGGACGAACACGACAACCCGTACAACACTGGCAACACAGGACACTCGCCATTCTGGGCTAAATACACACTCTACAATAGGCATTTTCATCTGTGTAAACAAGTTCGTAGTTTGAAATAGATACTTTTAAAAGTGAACTTGGTGTAAACAGTGCGATGTGGTGTCAGAACGATAACCCTCCCAGTGCTGATGCTCTTCGAATCATCCAGGCAAACACAACTCACTGAAGCGGTTATATGTAAATTATTTACATAAACAATTAAACAAATAGCCGACAGGAGAAAATGTATGTAATAATTAAACAATCAATTCCCTAACATCAAAACTATTCAGAATAATTTCAATTATTTACTGTTTTCCGGCAACGGTGCCAAAACAGTCGCTTTCGAGATCATATTTTTCAGATGCGCAGTTATCTCTTAATTACGCAATTCGCTGTAAAAACACAGAGATAAGGTATATAAATATTTAACACAAATAACAGCAACTACACCTTTAAAACTGGAATATAGCTTCCTCGTGCATTGCAAAACAGTTTTATAGATAAAAGTAAAATATTAAAAATACTTTGAAAACAAAATATCGACGGGACATTTATAAACTGCGTGCACAGTGCATTAGCGTTACGGCTATATTTATCCAATCAGACAATCATGTAAGTCGACTCACCGCTCATGATGCTGCACCAAGGGTACAGCTGGGGTAGAGGAAAACTGGGTCTCGTCACTGAAACACAATAAATACTGACAATGACACACGGAAACAACCGCTGTTAGTGTTGCGAAAACGTAACATCAGCTTAGGTGGGATTTTCCACAAAATACTTCCCCTTTCCTCCACCAAATTGCCCGGAACTGTCAAATCCTTCCTATTGTCTACGCCAAAACCTAGCTCCGTTTACGATATTCTTCCGGCTCGAAAATTAAAGTCTCACATTCATTTGACGCCAAGCAATTTAATAATAATCATAATAAGAATAACAATAACAATTCTAATAATAATTTGATCTATTTTAGTTTTTCATAATATGCAATACATGTTTATGAGGACAATTATATTATTATTATTATTTGCAAGAGTATTGCCAAACACGTCATCCCTATCTTAACAACCAGGTTAATAGCTACGTCAGATTGGATTCAAATTCGTACAATAAAACTGGTTTCCACAATCTGCGCGAATATAAATCGATACGCAAGCGGTTACTCAAACATGCACTGTCGGTGATGTCCTGGCAACATCTGACGCTGAGTATAACTGTATACATTAATGTGACCAGATACAGTTGTATACACATCACTACACGGTATCCCAGTCAACGGGATCGGATGCGACAAATGTCACCCGCGCCACGCAGGTGTACAAAGGAAGCGAAAATTGATGGATTCGTTTGCAAATTTCCGGTTGAACTTTTCAGTAAACTACAATTATTCAGAGAAAGGATGTTGGCGGTTTGAAAATATGCATCAATTTTTTTTTTAAAAGAACAGCGCTCAATTCTGAAAGCTTTTGAATACGTTTCAATATTTTGCATGTCAAGCGTGAGTTTAGGCTTGGTTATGCACATGATAAAATGATCAGTGCAACGACGCATAGTAGTACAAGCAGTCCTCCGTAGTACGGCATCATTACAATATATACAGGAGATGTCATAGCCAGAGTATAATTAGACTCCATTATCTGCTTGAAACAATCCATTGGGGACAAAGGCCAAAATGGCAGGATCACTCAAAAGTACTGAAACTCGGGTTTCGTTTAGTTTAACTAGTTTCGGGATATTTCCTTCTCAAAACGGAATGCCGCATGAAAAAAAGAATCTCAGAAAATTATCCAAAATAATTCATAAAGACAACCACAGCTTTGACTATTTGGATGTCCAAGAAATGCCCGATCGTGGGTTTATGGTTGATGAAGATGTTTCAGACACTTCCACTGCACGTTTCATACATCATCATGCCGTGTGTTTCGGGAAAGTGGACTCGCTCACATGTGCTTTAAATTTAGTGTCAGTCTTTCCTCTTGTGACTCAACGTCCGCGTTCGAACAGGATCGTGAATTATGTGAAATGACACACCAAATGTGTTGGGAGATTCCCTTAGGTCTTCAGCAACACATTTATTCATGAAAATCCAGTTTTCAGCAACACATTGATCTGTGAAGATCTGAGCTTCAGAAACACATGGATCCATGAAGATCCGGTCTTCAGAAACACATGGATCTTTGAAGATCTGGTCTTCAGCAACACATGGATCTTTGAAGATCTGGTCTTCAGCAACACATGGATCTTTGAAGATCCGGTCTTCAGCAACACATGGATCCATGAAGATCCGGTCTTCAGCAACACATGGATCTTTGAAGATCTGGTCTTCATCAACACATCGATCTTTGAAGATCTGGTCTTCAGCAACACATGGATCCATGAAGATCTGGTCTTCATCAATATATGGACCCGTTAACATCCTAGAACCAGTTTTAAGAAACCCAGAGATCTGTGAAGATCCGGGTTAGGGCCAGTAATGTAATGGATTGGAATTTAAGATGAGAATAAATGGAATATATTCATCTTGTACTGAACTCACCTAACTGACCCAGTGCTGTGCCGATCTTCAAACATACATTAAATTGACAGTTTGAGGACTGTGGAAGATAAGACTAGCAGCAGGCGCAGGTGCGGCAATAGCCTGTCTCACAGTCCCTTCACAATTATATTTAGTATACCCAGGAATCATAAACAGCATATGTGAAGCATAATTAATATAATATTAATAACCAGTCAACATATCACCATGGTAGGCGCTGCCCATACATAAGGTCACACCCCCCACCCTTACTTCACTCCCCCATCACTTCCTGGGATCCAGCTATTGCACGAAATGGAGCAAGTTTGCAGAACTATTTTTTGTAATATAAAATGTATTCAGAATATATTCTGTTGGGTTAAGATTATGAGACGACTGCGCTGAATAAACCGTTTCCTCGTCCACGTATGTCTGTTCCTGTCTCGACCCGTGAAGATCCGGGTTAGAATATTGATCTTCAGCAACCCATGCTTGTCGTAAGAGGCGACTAACGGGATCGGGTTGTCGAGCTCGCTGACTTGGTTGACACATGTCATCGGTTCCCAATTGCGCAGGTCGATGCTCATGCTGTTGATCACTAGACTGCCTGGTCCAGACTCGATTATTTACAGACCGCAGCCATATAGCTGGAATATTGCTGAGTGTGGCGTAAAACTAAACTCACTCACTCACTGTTCCCGTCTCAGCACCTTTGCATGCTGACATGCGGGCGTATGTTTCGCCTTGCTCCAAGGCTGTACTGATCGATAAATGCAAGGCGGAATAGTGATTCTATCCCAATAATAAGCAAGTCCAGATAAGCGGACAGTACAAGACCAAGGTCACTCATGGGGTCACCTTATTCTTATTATCTACATAACCTAGAAAATGTGGTTGAAACTAAAAATATTTTCCCCCTGAGCACATGTGCGATTTAGCGTGTGGTTGAGTGAGACGCTGACACCCACGTCTCTGGGTGAGGCCGAACCAGACATAACTAGGCGAGTAACGGCTTATTCAACACAATAGTTTCGTGATATTCTTATGAGGCTCAACAGAACACCAAGTGGGGTGGGGGTGTGACCTTTTGTATGGGCATTGCCTACCATGATGACGCGTTGACTGGTTATTAAAGTAAAATTAATGATGATTAATAATGATTTACATATCATGTTCCTGATTCCTGGGGTGGACTTTTGGGTGGACTCAATGGAAATATAATTATTAAGGGACTGTGAGACAGGCTGTGGCCATACCTATGTCAGACTCTAGCCTTATCTTTAACAGTCTTCAAACTGTGCATTTAATGTATGTTTGAAGGTCACAACACTGGGTCATTTATAGGTTAGTTCAGTACAAGATGAGTATATTCCATTTATTTTATTTTTTTATATCATTATTTACTTGTAGTTGTACAGCGTCAATATCCAGCTCAGCTGAGGTACTCAACGGCGCTATGATTTTCCCTCGATCATTTATTCTCATTCCATTATTCCAATCTAAAATCCATTCCATATTTTACATTATGCCTATCCAAACAAGGTTGATACTAGAACATAAAGAAATATCCTTCACAAGTAGCTTTGACTTGAACACAACGCTCATTTATTACAATAGTGAAATACACTTACAAATCAAGGTTATTACACACACCACAACAACACTTCTAACAGTATTTACATACATCACACATAAACACCATAGATGATTGCATATCGGTTTAACTGACGGGAGGGGGTCGAAGAGACTTGCACGTGCACGCTAATATTTCTTCTCTGCTTTGCTCCGGGAAAACTAAAACAGGGGGTTCTCAATTTCTAACTGCTAAAGAACGCTCGGAAAAAACATATGACCCTAACAAGTGAACGACTTCATGCCGTGAAGAGTTGGCTCTGAGAAGCGTTATCAAGTGATATTTAATCAGTCTTCTTAACGTATGCTTATGTTAGCTTATCTTTCTGTGACGGGTCAACTGGTTGAAGTTAAGTTTGACAGTTATACACTTTCCTCTCGACTCTATTTCTGGCGATTAAAATGTTTACACAGACTTGACGGGTGATTAGAAATGGTGTTACTTTCTTAGGAGTTCTAGCGAATATAAATGTATATATCAGAACATATACACGCGTATAATATTATATTCCCGATTACACGCGCATAATATAATATTCCCGATTGTACTTACTCACCGCGTCTGTTGAAACGTTGAATAAAGCATGATTATTCGGTTTGGAGTGCACATGTACTTGTTGCTAATTCACGATAAGATGGACTTACAAAAACAAGTTGTCTTCTTCCTAAGAAGCAGAAGGTTGTTAATCAAAACCCGACCTCCAAAAAACACGATGTCGTGTATAAGCAGAGCGGTATGTCGTCACAGACGCGGCGAGTTCTGATTTCGAGCATCACTCACGCCTCACTTGCGTCATTCGATAAGAAGTGGCGCAAACAACTGTTGTACGGACGCGCACGTCCAGTACACAGGAAAACCAGGCCATTCCTTACACCAGCTTGCTGACAATGATTTGCGTCCGTGTAGACGTACAGTGACAATGTTGCCTAAGTTGGGTCATTGAGATTAGACTGTTGGGACAGGTATAAATAATGGCCCCGGTAAACAATAAACAAGAAACATCTGCTCGTTTCCTAAGGCAATGTCACGGCAACAAGGTACATAGTTTAAATTCCCACAACCCGAGATATTAAATCTGCACGACATTTTGTGACGAGAAAACGTGATTTTTATAATTATCAGCAACGAGTCAGGCTGAATTAATTTATGCAAGGCCAGGGTTATCGTGCTTTCAGCGCATGTGCAGCAATAGTCTTGGAATTTATGCGTGTTGGAATTTGGTTTTTGGGAATTGGCACGCGCCAGGGGGGACAACTTCTGATCATGGGGGGTAAGAACAGACGTGCTGACTTCAATTTTAGAATTCCATGTGAACGCACTGTTCTTGAATCGATAATTTAAAAAAAACTCTTCACATTGTACTACTTAAAGTCATGGGCATGTTACCTGTAGTTTCAACAGGGTGAAACAGATGACAAAAAGAACATTTACTTGTAGAAGAAAACCATGAATAAACACAATGAATAATAATGAAAAACAATAATATTACAATAATATTACAGCATGGCCGGGGAAACAGACAGACTACAACGAGT